ACACACACACACACACACTTAACGTTTAACCGTCAACACGTTTAATTTAAATTAAAAAAAACAAAAACAAAAAAAACAGCAAACGGCTCTTCTCGTCGCGTTCTAGAATCCGCGGCGGAATCTCGTCGCGTTCTAGAATCAGCAATGGAATCTGTCGCCGTTAGCAACCGTTAGCTCGGTTAAAAAAAAAGTTAGCCCTGTGGTTAGCTCGTATTAAATATGTGGTCCCACCGGACTTGACAACACAATGTGAAGGATTAGCGAGGACTTTTTTCTTTCTTTCTGTCTTTCTTCTCGTTTAACCTTTTTTGAAAACGCTTTTTTTCTTTGTTTTGGTAAAGAGGGTGATTGTGTTAATTGTGCTAGCTAGTAGGTGTAGCATGCTATCAGCAAGGGAGAACAAATAGGGGTTGAAAAAGAAAAAAGCACAACAGAGACGATCTTTGATAAACTACGTTAATTACAGTAAGAGAGCAGGAAAACAACACGTACTGACATTTTGTGCTTTTTTTTAATTATAGTTTTCATTTATATTCATAATCAAAACGGTTGGCAGTTTTATCCACCTTTTTTTTCTTTTTTTTAATTACGAAGCTGGAGTATATTTTTATCGCTAGGAAAGAAAAAAAAAATCATAAATAATTATTTTTTTCTCAATAACATCACTGCATTTTCTCGAGGTGTAAGTGATGTTACGTTTTAATTACTTCTACTGCTGCAATAATTAACAGTCTAATGTCATATGCTCGCTAATTATTTTGCATTTTATCCGCTGAAGTTTTGCATGAAAGGGATTTTCTGACAGCGTGAGGTGAATTGTTTTGTTTTTGTCCTGCAGAGAGATGCTGCTCTCTGATTGGTCGGCCTGTTACCATCCGGAACACTGTAGAAGGCGGGGCTTCAGCACACAGCTGATCGAGGAACAACAAGCGTGCTGTGCGGGGCCCATGCAGCCAGGGCTAGGGGGATGGGGGGGCAGGGAACATCCAGTCCCATGGCAGGGGACAGGGCTTTATAGTGTACTGGGGCCGAGTGGGCGAACATGTTGTTTCCACTTTAACATCTTTAACAGACAACTTATTGATCAGTGGCCAAGACATTTGCTGCATTATTCCTCCCCGTAAACTTTGACCAGACGAAAACAAGCAGTGTGAAGATGTCGCCTTTTTGCGATGAGGATTTTTCAACGTTTAAGTTCATTGAGAATGAAAATAATCATTTGTTGCAGCCCTACAGACTGATACATAGTGAGCATAGCTTTGATCCTTTATAATTGAGTATATTAAGGTTAAAACGTTTGAGTTTTACATGAACACTTTTGTAGATTGAGACACAATCAGTTTAAAAATAATAATATACACATTCATTTAGAATCTGATAAGATTAATCAGTGTTGACTCCCTGTTGATAGTTTAATTCTGCCCTTTATTCCTTAAATTTCCCTATTTAATTAATAATAACCGGTCATTAAACATACTATAAAGTAATTGTTTATTAACCATCACTTTAAACCAACAATATGAGACACATGTACGGTTTGACATTTTTATTTCTGTTAGCTATTGTTTCGTTTCACTGCTGTTATTATAAAATATGGATGAGAAGTCTAATAATAGACAGTGCGAGTCACTTGAGGAAAAGACATGTTGGGATCAACCAGTTCTTGCTGTTGTGGATCTTGTTTCGGCAGCACTTTATCACTGTTTAACAGCGGATGCCGAACATAGTTTCAGGTAGTGGCTTTAAATCAAAGATCTTCGTGCGACAGAGCACAGTTGACTCCTGCTCTCAGACTATTTTACAGTTCTTACAAACATCACAACATCAGTCTTTTAAACGTGTAGTTGAATTAGAGCTCAAATTAACTCTTTGTTTCTCTCAAATTTCATACGAGAGTGCTCATAAATAAAAAAAATAAAAATACAGCGTTTCCCTCGTGTAGTTACTTTACTCTTGAGTGAGCGTATGCTTTGGTTTCTATGGATAACCCACGGGGAAAGGCATAAAAGAGAGAGAGAGAGAGAGAGAGATGCACATTTTTACTGCAGAAGTCTATAACAGATTTTATTTATAGGACTCGTTGCCTCAGATCACATTTAGAGCTACTCCGTCTTCTTGGTTAGTGGTTTTGCGAACCTCTTCTCGGGGTAGATGTTTGCAATTAATTTCCCTCCTGACCGCTACGGCACTATTATTTGTTCTCCTGCAGTTTGGCTGAATTAGCATCCGTACGTTACCTTGGTTAGATCGTTGTGAGAGAGATGACAGAAGGATTTACGACAGGGTGATGAAACAGGGTGTGACAGTCCCTCGTGAGGTTTTTGTGGGGGGGTGTTTTTTTTTTTTCTGTTTTCTCCATCTGTCATTGTGTCAGACTCGCGGAGCCGTTGATTGAATACACTCAACCTTTCTGCTGTCACCACACACTGTGATTATGACACATCCTCCCCCGCCTGCTTCAAGTCACCTTCCATCTTCTCTCCCGGCTGAAGTTACCTGCAAAAAAACAAAACTCCCTTACGACCCAGCTGGCTGATGGCGGCACATTTCTGCCGACTACACATAATGTTTGATAGCCGGTAGACGGTTGAAGTCTGTCTCTCTTCCTGTAGTTTCAGGAAAGTTAAGCTGTGATCGTTTATCTCTTCGATTGACAGCCTGTGTCTGCAGTGTGAGGTTGTGTTGTTGTGAAGCTGACCTCTTGTCTGCTGTTTGTCTGACATTGCATTATTGATCTCACTGCCACGTTTCATGCTATTGATCCCACGTCTGACCTCTGCCCAGACAGGTTCGCCCACAGAGGGAGAAACGGTTTCACTAACCTAAAGTCAAAAGCCACAGCAGCATCATTTTTGTCCAACTTGTGTTTGATGTTGTTTGAATGTCTCTGCCGCTCCCGTTGTTGTTGTTGTTTGTTGTTTTCTGCCATTGCCTTTTCCTTAACCAGCTGTCAGCATTGAGAGCAAGCACGAGGTCACCATCCTCAGTGGACTCAACGAGTTTGTGGTCAAGTTCCATGGACCGCCTGGAAGTAAGAGACATTTACAGACATTTATTCTCCCTCTCACTGACCAGCATTTCACCAGTTTAGTGTAAATTTAATCAGCATCAAGTTTCCTGTGAGTTAAAACGCTGACTCCAACATCCTGGATTCTGTCTTGTGTGAAAATGTGTTTTAATCGATTGATTCATCTTTTCTTTCCAGCGGCGTATGAGGGAGGTGTGTGGAAGGTCAGAGTGGACCTACCAGATAAATACCCCTTCAAATCACCATCAATAGGTATGAAATGTTTCTGCAGGTGTTGTGTTGAAGCCTTGAAGTCTCTTTATTAACTTACCAAAACCTGCTTCTTCTTTTTTCCCCCCGACAGGATTCATGAATAAAATCTTTCATCCCAACATTGATGAAGCGTAAGTAGACTCACAGTATTCTAGATATCACTCTACAGAGGTCGAGTCTCATCTTTATGGCAAGATTTGTATACAAATTATTTCATAATTGTAAATGTTGTCTGAGGCAAAACCCTCATGTTTAGCATATAAGTAATTATTCCAACGATTTGAGAACATCTGATGGTTTTTTTCACTCACTTTGCTTTGACAACCTCTGCAGATTGTGTTCGGTTGTACTCGCATACCCTTCAAGTCAGCTTTATTGTCAGATGTGCTATCTGATGCTGAATACATGCACCGACATACAGCATTCTATAAAAACATAGAAACAACATATACCAACAGTCAACAACAATCTACATTAAACAGAGACACTCAAATAGAACAATCGAAGCAATTTAACCAAACATAAAAAAAACACATGCCAGCATCAGCAATCAAGGCACTTTGAGTATTTACCAGGCATGAAATAGACATCACGT